TACGTTACATACTTCTGTTTTATCAGCTATTGCGAAATCTTCTCTTTCTTTTTTAATTTTCTCCAGCTCGTTCTGCTTATTAGGCTATTTATTTTTTTTGTTTCTTTTTCTGTTCTCTTCCTCATTATGACATAGTGAGAGTGGTGGATAGTCGAGAAACGCTCCAGAAACTAATTGCATTATGTTTAAAACGTGGTGTGGTCCAGTTTAAAAGACTGTCGCAGAAAATACTATTAACGTACAACAGTTTTCCTATGGGATGAGTGAAGCGCTGGTCGATATAATGCACTTCAGTTGCATCCGATATCTACTCAATAGTGTTGCCTATTCTGATCCACAGCAGACTAAAGCATAGAAGAAAATGCTGAAAAATAACAAAAAATTCGGTTATGAGAAATACTTTCATTTTGGTTTCAGTTTCTATCACCCATACTTGATAGAAGAACAGAATGAGAGCATAGATTCGTAGCTCAGTGAACGAAAGAGACGATACGAAAGCATATACTTCTTTGAACGCTCGAACCTTTTTCAAATTTTTCAAATCTTCTTTTAACTTGATTTTCGGAATTACTTCGAAATAAAAATCATAGGCTCATATGTAATCGATCATGCTGATTCCAATATATCGCATTCCGGTGGACTCAAATCGCAGTTGAAAATTTTGAAGTCTGGTGATATGATTAAAAAGTGATAAAAGTAATGATTCTCTCTCAAGAATAGATAATTAAAAATATTTTTTCGGTCGATTAGAAGGACGAGAAATGGCACTACCACATGCACTATTTGATTTGGAAGAAGGAAGAATACGCCGTCTTGCGACTACTATTACCGCTCTAAACTGCATGAATTAAGTAAAAAATAGCATTTTAACATCATTTCCTTTGAAAAAGCTTGCTGCTGCCGGATAGTCCCGGTTCTCTTAATTTTGTATTAATTATTAATGCTGTCTTTTATTTTATAATATTTTGCTCCAGAACTATTTATCGAGTTAGCGTGGTTCAGAATATCAGTAATCAAAATCTTAAATTTCAGCGATGTGACCTTTATGCTGTCTATTATTGTGAAATTGATTATTTTCGCGTATTTCCCTAGACATCTATTCTTATATAAGAATTGGGCACGGATCTGGTAAGGATCTTGAGAGTTTTTCATCTGCTTTTGCTAAGAATCTTTTCTGATTCTTACCAGATTCGTATATAAGAAGTGGCACGAAAGTCGTGGTTCCTGAAAGTGATGGTTCCCTCAACAAGTTTCTTGACTTTTAAGCAATAATGAATAAAAAAAGGTTTTTTAAATAAAACGGTCTGTTCAAGGTTCAAATTTGAGTTATTGTTAAGATAAGATAAGATTTGATTTTATTCAAGGGCAGGATATCACAAAAAGACACATTTATGTATAAACATCGCGTCTTTGTATTCTCTCACAACATCTTTTTCAACTTCGAACTTCAATTTTGAGTATGAAAATGATGTGTATCACGAGGGAATATGATTTAGTGCACCAGAATTTCAAGTTTATGATAGTGGATTCTAGACATGAGACTATTTTTGTTAAAATTCTTTGGTTTAACGAAAATCTACGAAGAACAAGTTTCTACGAAATCTTAGCGTAACAAAATGAATAAAAAATAATTCTTGTAAAAATCTGGTAAGAACCTAATAAAAGATTTGTATCACGTTCTTATGAAAGTCTTATAACATTCTTACTTGATTTTTATCTGATTCTTACGAAATTCGTGCAACTTCTTGTGCAAGAATCTGGTAAGAATCGGATAAGATTTTTATCAGAAATTTCGAAAAAAATTTGTCTACAGTGCTCGTTGAGGCTAGCTTAAATAGAGTGGGACTACTACTGTCCGTAAAAAGCAGCCAGATGTTGAGTCAATTATTCGTGAAGTTCGATGATAATCGTACGATACATATGCAATATTCATTTATACATTTAAATTTAAATACAGTTTAAATTTATACATTTTTCGTTTCTCTTTCTGTTATTTTCTAGCGTATACAAGGTGAAAGAAAATAGAGTACGATCGAATGTAAGAAAGAAACTTTTGATGTATAAAAATTCTGTCATAGAGGATTCGACCGAAGGTTTTGTTATCAATTATGAAAAATATTCGTCATAGTATAGTTCTTTTCTTTCAGGTGTCTTGCGCAACTTGCGTCAGTTCTGCGTATATATATAATAAGATGAGATCAATCATTATTATTATTTTCTGTCAATAGGCACTCTTATTAGAACAATGGCACATGGCGTTAGTGATGAATATAAAAAAGAGCATTTTGATTCAAAAATCAAACTTGAAAAAAAATTAGATCAACTAGCTGAATGGATTCGTTCCGCCAAACATTTTATTGTGTTTACAGGTATTTGATTTATGATCCCATTTTAAATGACTAATCTTTTTTTCTTCTTAGGAGCCGGCGTTAGTACATCAACAGGAATACCCGATTTCCGGTCGGGTATGGACACGGTTCTGTCGACTGGTCCCGGAGCATGGGAACTCAGGGACAATCGAGCAAAAACTCCAAAAAACGCGAAGGTATTGAATGACATGCATAAAGCTATTCCGAGTGTAACACATATGGCGTTAGTGGAACTACAACGAAGGAATATTATAAAATGTGTCATAAGTCAAAATTGTGATGGACTACATCTAAGATCTGGACTGAATCCAGATTGCTTAGCTGAGCTGCATGGTAACATGAATCTTGAGATATGTTCAAAGTGTGGAGCAAATTATTTAAGAGACTATGATGCCGCCACGGGGGGTCTTGATCATTTAACGGGACGAAAATGCGATAAACCTGAATGTCGTGGTTTATTGAAAGATTCAACTATCAATTTTGGGGAAAGTATGTTCAGGATTATTTAATTATTACTAAACTGTAGAAAGATATGTTTTCAGACTTGCCAAGAAGCGAGAAAAGCAAGGCATTTCGTCACGCCAATCAAGCAGATGTATGCCTCGCATTAGGTAAGAAAAATCGTAATATAAAAATTGTGCAATAGGATAAACGTTTTCTCATACTAGGCTCAAGTTTGAGCGTCACACCTGCCGCTGATGTACCTGAAAGAGTAGCAGAACGAAACCAAAAACTTATTATTGGTAATCTCCAGCGTACATGTCTTCATAAAATGTCATCGTTGAATATTTATGCATTTACGGATACCATAATGGAAGGTGTTATGAAGCGTCTTAATATAACAATACCACCTTGGATCTTACGTCGGTGTGTTCGTTTTCAAATTAAACATGAAAAGCTAAACAATTGTTATCAGATATTGATTGAAGGACGTGATTCCGATAAAGATTTACCGTTTTCAATGTTCAAATCAATTATTGTTAAAACACCAAAATCAGAATATTTACTCAAAAAGGAACCGTTTAGTATTTCTATTGATATGAACGTTCAAGACACGAAAAATGAAGCTAAAATTCAGTTACAACTCAACTTTTTCGAACATTACAATGAAATACCATATTTACTTGAATATCCTTTAGAAGACATCAATGAAGAATTTTATCTATTTTGGAATCCCACAACAGGTGTATGGGTCAGAAAAGAACGAGCTGATGAGAATCTGACCCAGTAGAGAGTTCCATATTGACTCAAAATTGTGAGTTCAGTCCGAGTCCATTTAAAACAACTTTTTCAGTCCATGGACTCTAAAGAAGTGGTCCGGTTTACAATACAAAATTAAGTCCAGTCCACACTGGACTATACGGAGCTCTGGTGTGCATGTGTACTGCTGCTTTGTTTATATAATACTCTACTTAAATTGCTACTTTAAATAAATACTAGTATAGGATTTGAATTCCCAGCATTGCTGTTAAAAGAGCTCCTAAAACTCCTTGTTTATTACGTCAATAATAAAGGCAGTTCTGACAGACGAAAACGACAGTTCTAAAATTTGTTCGATGATGAATAGTGTTTTAACAAAATTAACAAGTGATTTACAAACACATATACATAATTTTGATAATTGTTTAGCAAATACCTGTCAACAACTAATATCCTGTTCCAAATACAACAGGCATTACTCTTTGTTGCACAACGCTTGGGAGAAAGTATGATAGCGATTCCGAGTTTATACATAGCGTAGCCAAGACCTAACCGGATGACACTGTAAATGAGTCATTCCTCTACATATCACGCAAGTTGTAACGCATCACCACTTGTCGTTCCTGTGGGGAACGATTTTGCTAGGAAGGCCAGGATTGATATTTTTTTCATATGGGTACAGTTGTACACTTCTTTACGAACAAGTGGAGATGAGAACGTTTTGGTCCTTATACGGTTTTCCATGAATAATTATCATTCTCCACTCATACACAATGTCAAAGAAAAAAAACGTTTTCAGAAAAAATCGGTCTTGCAGGGAGAAAAATTTCGACGGATATTTATTCAATACAAAAGTTAAAGTGTAATATGTCTAATGCACTTTCTCACACTAATTTCGAATATGCCATTAGCTTTTGTTGGGATGCGAAAACCAGATTTTACTCAAAAAATGCGAAAGCTTTTGAAAAACCTATACCGAAGTCTGTGAAGCACACCGCCATGTCATAGATGTACAGCATACAGAGGAACATTTTGGCAACGTTTGAGTCAGTTTGAAGCTTTGCGAATTCTTGCGCAATTACTATACCGAAAACATCTCACGAAGTTCGGAGCTCCCACCCCTTCGTTTTTCTGGATAATTTACAAATAATTAGTGAGGCGCCACGGTTTGCGTTTTGCCCTCGTATGCCACAATCGAAAATCGAACAAAAAAAATCGAACGTTATACTTAAAATAGTCGGTCCCTTCTTCTAATGAACAGACAGTACTCTTTGTAGCCAGAGAACTGTACAGCTTTTGAGGCTATGATTCACAGTGGGTATTTTTCCGTACAGCAACCGGACATCTGGTATTTTGAGTTAAAAAATGATTATTTTCTGATAATATAGTCCTACTATGTGTCAGATATTAACAGGAGAAAAAAAAACAGAATTCGAAAAGAGTTTCTTATCCGTTAAAAAACTCGTTAGGGGGACCTTTGTCCTAAATTTTCGGCAAAAAATATTTTATTTGTAAAACTAACAAATTCCACATCATTCGACGCAGATTTACACGCTGATTCCAAATATCTCATTACTTTTTAATAGAACTGTTCCTGAGCTGAGAAAAATAGATTTTATCTAAAAGATCTTGGTTTTTTAGAAAATCAGTATCTAAGTCCAGAAGTAGAAGCGCATACATGGTAAATGTAGGACATGTAGACTTCAAATTGAACATCTTTATATCACATGGCCTAGACTCGTCTACGGATTGTGGAACTAAGATGATCTTACAACAACGATATTTTCTAGAGAAGTTACTCTGAGAGATTACTTACTACGTTATTGGTTAAGGTTATATAAGTTTCAGAACAGAAAAAAAAGTGTACGAAAGTCAAGGGAAAACACTTTTTCTTTCTGAAATTAACCCTAGAAAACAGTTTTACTGAGATTTTTCGTTCAGAAAGGAGTTTTGCTTTTAGGCATTGTTAAGCTAAGGCTTTTCTCCTCGCGTGTATTGTGAAATCCTCATTTCTCGATTTGAAAATAAATAGTTGAAAGTTTTATTACAAAAAAATTTAAAAGACCAGAAACCAGTCACAAACATCAACAAACGAAAACAGAGAAAAAAAAGAAGACATAAGTACACCAAAATCTCTTGTACATTGTAAAACGCGCACAATTCCTGCAGCCTCAATTTTACTCGTCGTTCAGTTTTTGTATAGCGTCCACCTTATTCTTACATCGTGGACAAACTCTCGTTTCTGTTTGAATTTTAACCGCACATTTCTGGCAAAACCCTCGATCACCACATGGTACAAGAACATGATCTCTTTTATCAACCCGACATAGGATGCATTTATCGTTGTCACTAGTAGCATACGCCTGGCCTTTAATTTGTGGAACTTTTGACCAGGAAAGTGTATCGATTTGATTCGTACACTGCCTGCAAAACGGTGTCCGCTCAAAAATACTTATTCGTCTTAGTGGAAATCTGCCAAATGACCGACGTTTCAAACAACACGGACATGTCCGAGCTGGCAAGGCACCAATGTCTCTTTCTTTTAACTTATATTCGTCGAGCAAATCCTTAAACGACTGATACCTAGATTGTGGAGACTCTTTCAAAATTTTCAGATAATTGAATGTCATAGCTATAAAATCTTCCAATACAGACGGACTTGGTTTATCAGCTTCAGTTGTTACAAAAGTACCCTCCCACGTCACTGCGGTCAGCTTGCCGATAAACGTGATAAACCAGCCCCCTGACACTTCACTGGTTCGATGAGTTGGATGGGCCCCTTTATGCTGAAAACAGGAGATTGGTGAATTAGTGCCTAAAGCACAAGGGTTCGGATGAAGTGCTTCACATGGAATAAATTCATCAAGAAGTTTCCAGAGTGCTTTCAGCGCTTCATCACATTTTTCATGTATAACACGTTCACTTGCAATTTCCTCCTGTTTTAAGAAATTCACTGCGAGACTTCGTGCGAGAGCTTGTATTGCAAATTTACGACAGTGTTTGAACCATTCCGAGAAATGAATGTATTTTTCCGAATACAAACTAACGAATAGTCGTTTCGCAATAGATTCATACACCTCGCCTGTATCGGTTACCTCCGAGAGAAGATTATGTATAGAAACTGAGCGACCACTAGAAACAATATCAAGAACTCTGTCTAACAGATATAGCCACTGGGAATGAGTTATTAATCGTTGCTTAGATTTCTTATCAATATCTATCAGTTTTTCTTTTAATTCAGCGATTTGCTCGTTAAACACAACTTCACCATCAATATTTGTCCCTCCTTTCACTTTTTGTACAATTTCCGTATGCGGCAAGCGCATACAAAAAATTTCTGAAAAATATTTTTCCAGTTCTCTCAGTTTTTCATTGTCTTTATGAATAGCTTTAAACTCCTCTGTAACCTTCATGATGCCAAACGTTTTTCCTAAGGAACTTTGATTTTGAATAATGATTAATACTGGACGGTAAACAACTTGACTCACGCCTTCATTAGCACGCTGTGCAAATTCACAACAGCGTTTAAGATACTCTGAGACAACAATGTCTTCTCTACCAACATAGACTACAACATTGCTCAAAATATAGGCTAATTTTGGGAAATATTCCGATACAGCTTTTGATCTGTCTAGGAGCCTCTTAAGTGCATTAACAGTCTTTTTGTGTGACAAATAGTGACGAAAACGTAGCATTAAAGGAGTCGATGTTCCATTTTCTCCCTCAAAATCTAATAATAGAGTTTTACTCGTCATTTTGTTCACTTTTTGACATTCGAAACAGTTGATATTAGATGTTGTGCTACCCAGATTATCACTTTCAGCGCTTGTCCATGGCTTCTGCTCATTTTCATCAAAAAAATGTTTTGAAATAAAACTTTTACCCGCTGTTGTATTACCGAGAAAGCTGATAACGAATACTAGTCCAGTCAGTGTCATTTCATTATTTTCTGTTGCGCATCGCCAGTGTTTCTCAAAAGCATAGCCAGCTTTTAACTCCCATTTACTTTCATGAAGTGGACGAAGACAAACAATTTCACTATCTTTCTCTGATTCAACAGCTTCAAGTGCATTTTCACCAATACAATCTTCATATTCTTCAAATGTGTCATAAGTCAAAATTGTGATGGACTACATCTAAGATCTGGACTGAATCCAGATTGCTTAGCTGAGCTGCATGGTAACATGAATCTTGAGATATGTTCAAA